TGGCCAAGAGACAGAAATGGGAGGGAGACTTCACACTGGATTTACATAGCCTATTCAAAATATAAGTGAACTTTAAATTCTTAAAGGAAATACCACAAGACTGACCATAAAATCTACATCCTAAAAATGATACTTACAATAATATCAAAGAGTCTTAGTTTTGCCTCTCAACAAGACATACCCTAATTAATTCTCTTGAAGAAACGATCTGAGAGTAGAGCATATCTGGGCTTTCTCTTTCCACCAGTGGTGCTTGAGGTCTTTAGTGAACACTTTTTCTCTGGAAAGGATCTGACAGTTTACTAAAGGAAGTTCCTCAAAGCGTTTTCCTCTCCCCTGTATTGCTTCATCTTTCCTCCAGAAAAGAGAAGGGGAGAGAGAGATGTGTAGATGACTTTTTCCCATGATGGATTTTTGTTTCTCGGAACAGACTCCTTTGGTGACCAGGATATGAAACAGATCACCTTGCTTTACCTCTTTCCTGACTATGAAGTTCGGCCTTAATTTGTAAAACCTGCTTTTGCATGGCATACCTGATACTTATATCTTAATTGTTATAAATTATTTTAGCATTTTTAAACTTGCTTTATTGCCTATTCTTAAAAAGTCAAGCTCTTTTTTTCTCTTTACATTTAAAACACAATTTTAAAAAAATGTTTTTATACGCACTTACACAAGAGTTTCCGTCCTCAGAATCTCAGAACCTGTTTGGAAACTGAATATTAATTCTTTTAAAGTTATGGAATAACAACATGAGAAACTTCATATTTTCTGTGTAATAGGAAGGAACAAATGTTTAACTTTAATCTTATAAATACATGTTATGTATATGTAAGCATTTGTGTATTTATAATCTGTTGTATATATTGCCAAAAGACTGAAAGGAAATACAATAAAGTATTAATAACATGATTTTGGGGGTGGTGAAGTTATGGATGATTTTTTTTTTTACGTTTCTGTATGCATTTTCCAGATTTCCTTCAGTGAATGTTTATTGAAAGTTAAATGATTGTCAGGATTGTTACATTCAATGATTTAAGATGTGTTTTCTACATTCTGAAAATACCCTAATGAAAGGCAGTGGTTTTTCTTTTCTTGGAGAGAAATAGTATATTTTTAATCTTCTGGGATATGGCAGTTATTTTTCCTTTTAGCTTAGGCCTTGTATTTTACTAAGTGGAATGTAATATGTTTACAGATTTAACATTTGTAGAAGTCTGGCAACATAGTGTAGTGGCTAACTGTGTAGTGCCAGGAGCCAGAAGACCCATGTTCAAATCCTCATTCCTGTTAGCTAGTGTGTGACCTGAGGTAAATGTCTTAAGTTCACTTAAGCTTCAGTCTCTTTGTTTATAAAATGAAGTAGTAATAGCATCTCATAGAATTGTCAAGGTTAAATGAAATTACTCATACAGAGTTAAAACTTGGTTCTAACTGGCACATGGTAAACATGCCATGAATTTTACCTTTTTTTTTTTCTTCTGGTCACCCCTGGAGTTCTAGAACCTCTGCCCTCTTCTTTCAAATCTATTGCAAGACTGTTGTACATAATGTAGGATTTTATAAAATGAAGGGTGAATATAATCCAAGCAAGACTTTAATAGTCACATCTGACTACAAAGAGTTTATTCAGCTAGTTCCCATCCACAGGAATTTCTTACTGCTGTGTTGGTTCCTATGTTCTGTATCACCATATGTGTTGCTGCATCTATTTCCATAGACCAGTGTGGTTTCCAAAGTAAGGTCTGCATGATGACTCCTTGGGGTACAAAGACAACCTGTTAAATGTTTAAGGTCTATATCTATCTTGTGTGTGTTTGAACACAAAGTACAGCTAGTAGATCAAGTCAATGATTTCACAGGTATTTTTTAGGGTAAGGTAAAAGTGAATATTGAAGAAAAAAGCAAGCCAAATTAAATTAAAATGTTAAGGATATAATACTACACGGTGTGACAAAAATTGCAAAGCTGGTACTTGAGTGACTGAAGTTTAGTACTCTGCTTTAGATCCTTTTTCCCATACCTGTGTCCAGGGTTCCCTCCTGCACTCTGTCCCAGAAGCCCAGTACAACAGGTGAAAGCTGTTTTTTACCTAAACCTGTCATCTACCCAATACCCGGGGATCACACTTTTTTTTTTCTTCTCCTTTTAACTATAAATGGGTTCCATATTTTACTTAACAAAGGAATAAGAAACCTGCTATCCTCCTAGGGCAATTAGCTCAATGGCAGCTAGTTTTAAAATTTTTCTAAGTTTGGGAAATAATATTGTTACTTATACTACACCTTCAAATCCGTGTACTGCTGACCATTGTGACCTACCTGAATTCAAACTTTCATTTTGACTGTTTTAAGTCTAATATTGTTTAATATTAAGTTAAGTAACTGCTTTATTTTACTTAATTCTCATTGAATTCACCACCGTCAACTGTTTATTCTTGTATTATTATTGTTAAATCTATAGATATGTTAGCTTGAATGTTTTTGTTATTGTTAATTTTTAAATGTAAATTAGATCCTAAAAATTTGACATTTGAACAGGTACCTAAATTTGCTATTTAGTAGATGAAAAATTATTTTTGCTGTGATAAGTAGGATTGTCTTTACAACTATTGTATGAAAGCATATTAGTGTGAGTAAGTGGGCAGTTTGTGCATAATTTCTTACTCAGTGGGAGGCATACATTTTATTCCCAATTCATAAAAATTGTGCAAGTTGGATTTATTCCAAAGAATGGAGTAGTTTTGAAACTTTTGGGTGGGGGGAGCCCATATCTGATTACAAGAAGCTTATTTAATAAACTAACAGTCTAATTTTACATTTCTGAAGATGTGTAAATCTTTCTTTATATATCTTTGATGTCATCTAGTTGTAAACAAAGTTTTTTTCAGCAATTTTCAAGGAATTAAACTCGTGAATTGTTTTTTTGTCTTTCCATATACATACAAATAGGTATGACTTTTTTATTTTAAAAACTCTTAGAATACCTTAAATGAAGTGCATAGACCTGATGTAGAAATAAAAAGTTAACTTTTGTGTCACAGACACATAGATATGCTTATAATATATATGCATTTAGTGGTACTTGTGTAAAAGATAGACCCCCTCTATCCTCTCCCCATGTGCTAAATTATATTGATGTGCATTTAAAAGCCTATGGAACACACACCTACTTTCAGAAGCCCATTTATTAGCATTTTGTATTTTATACAATAGTTTTCCTTTCTATACTTGACATTGCTAAAAAGACATACTTACATCCAGGTATTTAGATAAAGACTATAAGAAGAAACAGGTATTTTGATTCTTTCAAACATTTTGAAAATTGCCATGTAAACATACTTTAGTATATGCTAAATTTATGGTAACTCTTGTTATTGTGATATGTATTATAGATATGTATTATATGGATATAAATAGCATTTTAGTAAAAATACATGTGCATATATTGAGCCCCTGCTATGAGAATAATGCAGCTGTCATTGTTATAGGCTTCTCTTACCCTGACGCTTGTCCCTTCCTACACACTAGAGACATTACTACTAATCCCTTGCTGTACTGTAAATTTATTGGATAAGAGAAGCAAAAGGTAATGAACGCCTCTTTATAAAACTTGGGGAACCTCTGTGTCAGAATGAAATGAGCCTGATTAAATGAGACCGTAGTGAAATGCAGAGATCCCCTGACCCCATACTTCATAGTTCTGAGCCATTACTGGCGTGGCCATGAAATCCCAGCCTTTCACTTACTGAGCAGAGGAAACTGAGTCACTCGGTGTACTTAGGTTACCCTTTTGTAGCTTCCTTTTTCCTGCATAGTCACTCCCAGGAGTTTCCTTGTCTGCAATTGAAGGAATTTTCAGTTAGTACAATTTTAGATAGTATAAGGGAGACATTTGCAGGCAGCAAGGTCAAAGTGTTCAGTTATGTTACCCAGTCTATTTAGCATAGGCCTAGCAGTGGATAGAGGAAGTCGTGTTTTGTAAGACCTGTTTCTCTCCATGACTGGTCTGATCATTGTTAAGCCATGCTCCTCCCCTCGTCATTACTTACCAGTGTCCTCTGTTTCAATTCACATTCCCTGGAGTCGGCAGGCACAATTGTTAATGTTAACTATTAGGAAAGCAGAAAGCATACATAGTTTCCGCAGGCTCACGGCTTAATGAAAAAGGAACATGTTTGGAAACCACCATTTTGAGAAACCTATTTTGAAAGCTATAATCAAGACTTTCTGAGACAGAAGAAAATACCAAATATTTGTATGCCTCCCCTATAAACTTAAAATACACACTAACCAACTTTTTATTACTGAGAAATATAAGCCACAGACACTCTCATCTCATCTTGACCCCCTTCCACCTTTTCTTTACCTCTCTCTGCTTTCGTGTTTTCTACATTGCTGTCATCCTGCTCCAGATGTGGACCTCACGCCTGAAGAACCATACCTGAAACTCACCAGTTTTTGGCCCTCTTTATTTAGATTCCCTTGAGAGGTACTCACTCAGATGGGCCACAGAGCCCAACCCATGATTTGATTCCCTTGGGTTTGCCAATGTACTTTGGGGACAGGGAGGCAGCAACCTTGTGGTTCATTACATACCTAAAAGGGGCCATGACTATCAGTTCCCTCGGGCAGTAGCACCTCTAATATGTATACTTACAGAGTTTGAGAGAGTGAAACACTCTGTCGATTATTCAGATGTGTTTTTTTTTTATTGGCCATTAGTGTCCTACAGATAAATTGCTCCCTCTTTTTCTGTTCGCAGAATCTAGATTTATTTTACCAAAATTAATTTTGCATCCTACATTGGGAAATTAAAATTTTTTTGCAGTAGTTTAGAAATTGCTTTTTTCTCACATACATAATTTTAAATGGAATCTATTCTTTTTCCTGTTAATTCTTTTACAGGAGGTGTGCAATATCCAAAGAGAAAATATTACTTGTAGTAATTACTGTGTCATGGGTTCATTTAAAAATGTAATATTCATTTTTGTCTTATAGGACAGACTATTCGAGAGAAAAGAATTGTAGAAGCTGCAAATAAAAGAGAAGTAGACTATGAAGTAGGGACTATCCCAGCAGAATGGGAAGGTAAGTTTCCGCTGTTAGTAATACAGAAACTTTTTGAAGGCAGCTTGTTTAACTATATACCAAATCAATAAGAGCATATATAATAACATGTTTATTCTTTTCGCAAAAACTTCTACAGTCTGAATCCATGAAACTTTTTTTAAATATTGCATTTCTTTGAAAGTTGCGAAGGTGCCACATTTTAATAAAGGAACACGTGTATAGTGAAAAGAACTATTAAACATTAGCAGAGCTGGGACTAGGGCAAGTGAAACTCCAAAGAAACAAAATTGAAGGAGGCACTGACTGTCATGTACTGACCCTGAACTTACACAACCCCGGAGTTTGAATCCTGTTTCTGGCACTCACTACCCACATGAACTTGGGAAAGTAACTCAGACTTCTTAGCCTTACTTTTCTGTTTTCTAAATTGTGGATAACACTTGCTATAGATACCATTTAAAGTACCTTTTAAACTTAAAATGATCCTGTCAGCTGACCCTCTGTTTAGACAAGGGTAGACACATGATCCCTATCAAACTTTGGAATTAAGGTAAAAAATCAAAGAGAGATAAAACAGTAAGAGTTAGTCTTTTAGTACGTTGGGAACAGTGGCATTTGAACTTGGTAGCTTGTGGGTGGCTATCTTCAATCCACTATCTAAGCTTTATTGCAGAAAAAAGCTATCTACTAAGAAGAAAACAGAAGCTAGTCTGCCAAGAGAAGTATATAATAAGACAGAGACTATTTCCCAGGTTTCCAGCAGCTTTCCAGTTCCCAGTTCCATTTCTTTCTGAATGAAGTTCAGCTGCAAGTATACCTTTGAGTTTTAAGTACCATCGCCTATTCTTGTTATAAAATTTTCCTTTTTCCTTTCCAGTTCTTAGGCAAGTGCCTGATACATAGGGAGGCACATAGTAAGTGCTCAGTAAATATATGTTGAATATATGAAGTCTACCTCTAGTTAGCTTTTGTTATTTGCAACCAAAAGAACCTTAACTAAAATACCAATACCTATGTTAAATATCACTGAACACTTATCACGTGTGTACCTATACATCTGGTATTATGCCATTGCTTTTATAATCATTGTTTAATCATCACAACAAACCTATGAAGTAGACACTGTAATTATACTCATTTAATAAATAGGGGCTCTAAAGCTGAAATGGATAGGTAAATTGCTTGTTATACAGCTACACACTGTAAGCGGTAGACCCACTGCTTCCTGATGGGTGTAGCATGATACCTTGCATACACGTATGGTAGATATAGGCATTAAGTTACTTTTATGCCAACATGTCAGTGTAAATAGTTTCCATTTCTTCTTATTAGGTGTGAAAATACTAGAACTGTGAAAAATGAGCGTAAAAGTGGGTAGATACAGAGACTTTTTGAAGAAATATAGAACATAAAACTGGCAACTTCTAGGAGGAGTAATTGAGCTTTCTTATTTTAACAGACTTTCCAATGTTATAAGCTACATTAGCAATTCTCAAATAATGTGTGTGCCTTCTTATAATGAGCCTATTTCATCATTTTTTCCAGTAATAATATAGAATTAAAATGTTTATGGAAATAAATTAAGTTATAAATAAACAAATAGGTAGTGACTTGCTTTTTTAGCCTGTGAGACTTTCAGAGTATTAGAATGAAGTTCTAATGCTTTTTATGGCTCTGTCCTGATCTAGTAATTCAGCATAATTATCCCATGGGACATATCCTTAAAACAAGTGTATCAACCAAACACTGAAAGTAAAAATTTTTTTATAGTGTTACACATCAATTTAATGTAAAAAATAACTTCGTACTGTGAAACAGTGAATTAAAATGTAGGTAAACCCACAAAACACTGTATACAGGAAAGGAAAGAGAAAAAATTACTTTTACGTTAAATAGTGTCAACACCAAGTGAATCTGAAGTATTTTCAGGTCCAGATGAATATTATAGTCAATTATCAATAAAAGAGTGCAGGAACCCACAAGCTGCACATCCTGCCACAATGTGTATTAGATAGTTTGCCCTATACATTCATTTATTTAGTAAACATCTTTGAGGACCTCTGCATTCATGGAGTTTCCATTCTGGAGTGGGAGCATAGGAGGGAGAAAGACAGTAAACCAGACAAACAACAGTATAGTATATTAATGGCCACAGAAAATACTGGGTTGTCAGAAAAGTCATCATGCATTTTTGCAAAGAAAAACAGAAAAAATACGTCATGACTTTTCTGACAACCCAATAAAGTAAAGAAAGGGGATACAGAGTGTTAGAGAGGGTTTTGCAGTTTTAAAAAGTATAAAGAAACAGCCATGCTGAGAAGATGACTTTTGAATAAAGGCAGAAGAAGAAGTTTACCATGCAAATAAGTAGCAGAGGAGCATTTCTGGAGAGCGGGTGCAAAAGCCCTGAGGCAGAGCATTCTAGGGCAGTTAAGGAACCGCAAGGAAGCCAGTGTGACTGGAACAGAGCCAGAGAGAAAGCAATAGATAAGGTTGGGAAAGTAACAGGCTGCCCAGTCTTGTAGGGCCTTCCTTATAGGCAGGTTTGAAGAGTGTAGTCATATGCTCTGAGTTGTATTTAACAGGATCAGATCACTCTTGCTGCTACATTACAAAGAAACTGAGGGTGGCATAAGCAACATGGAGACGGATAATTGTGACTGGGACCAAAGTAACAGTGGTCATGAAAAGAAGTAGTTGCATTCTGGATCTGTTGTAAAAGTAGAGCCAGTGGTATATGTTGACAGGTTGGATGTGGAACGTGAGAGAAAGAACAGTCAGTGATGACTCTTACGCTTTTGGGCCTCACCTGGAAAAAATGGTGGTACTGTTGACTGAAAGAGACAAGACTGTGGGAGGAGCAAATCTGGGGGAAAAATTAGATTCGTTTTGGAAATGTTAAGTTTGTGATGCCTATTAGACATCCAAGTACAGATATTAAGTCGTATATAAACCAAGAATTTAATGGAAAAGTTTGGGTTGCAGATAAAATTTGGGAGTTAATAGGAAATAGTGTTTAAGGGCTAGAGACTGGATGAGATCACAAAGAGAATGAGTGTAAGTAGAAAATCAGAAGTTCAGAGATTGACCCCCTAGGCTACCCCAAGGTTTAGAGACAATGAAGAAAAAAAAGGAGCCGCTAGAAAAGTAAGAGAAAAAAAGAAAAGTGTCCTGTGCTGGAAGCCAAATTTCAAGGAGGATGAAGTGATCCACCATGTCAAGTGAGGACTGAGAATTAACTCTTTGTTTTAAGAACAGGGAAGTCAGTGATCCTGACAAAAATAGTCCTGTAGAGTGTTAGGGAAAAAAGCCTGATCGAACAAAGAATGGCAAGAGAGAACTGGGAAAGAATGAGTGTAGACAATGCTTATAAGGCATTTTTCTGTAAAAGGAAACCATTGAGGCAATACCTGGAGAGGAAAGTGGAGTCAAGAGAGTAATTTTATTAAGTTTTGTTTTGTTTTAAAGGCAGGAGAAGTAACCGAACTTTATAATGATGATGGGAAAGATCAAGTCAGAAAGAATCATTAATGATGCAGGAGAGAGAAAGTTCTTGAGACGCAAGATGGGACAGGACCTAGTACACATGTGCAAGACCTGGCCTTCTGCAAAAGCATGGAAGCTCATTAGTAGCAATAGCAGAAAAGTAGAATATATGGACATGGATGCAGAGAGATTGGTAGATGTGGTAGTGACAGCTTGTGTAAATTCCCTTTCGATTCCTCTAAAGGAAGCACAGAGAAGTTAAATAATATCCTAGGTACAAAGAGCAGCTACAGCCAAGATTTGAACCCAAATTATCTGTCACCAAGTTCTTTACTCTTGATATTAGATTATATTGCCTACCTCATTAACAACCTGGCTAATTTCTACTTACCCTTCAAGTTTTAAAGTAGACATTAATTCCTTTAGCAATTTTTTCTGACCCCACCCTTCACCCCATAGAAAAGGAATGTTCCTCTTTTGTTTTTCATTTCACTTTATGCCTCCCCTAAGCATAACACTTAACACACTATAAAGTAGTCCCTGTTTGCTTATCTACCTCCTCTGCCTGGACTTAAAGATTTTTTAGGATAGGGTTTTTACCTTGTTCATCATTGTGGCCTGTGGGCCTAACTCAACAATTAATGTAAAATAAATGTAAGCTCAATCAATATTTGTTGATGAATGCATTTTAAATTGAAAGTACATAAGGAAGAGACATTTTAGGGACATTGCTGACTTGCTGGAAATAGTCCATTTTAAAAAGACATACATGGAACAGCACACCAGAGTAATTGGTTCCAAACACATAGAACACTCAGAGGTTCAGCTGTGGGAGACAGTTTAGTACTAGCTACTAAACAATATTATAAAGTTTCAGGGACCCTTTTAAGTTTAATCCATGGTACTATATGTCGTTCTTATATAGAACCACTGAAAAGCTGTGTCTCTATAATTCGGATGACATTTATCTTCCATTTTTGTTCCCTTTTTGTTGATTTTGATAACTTTAAACTCGTATGCTGTTAACAGTAATAAACATTATTGAAGCAAATCCTAAATTACTTGTAAAGTAGAATGTTGAGGGAAAAGACTGAAGCCCTGATCCAGTATTTCTCTTCAGTGGAAAGTTAAGCTTTCCTTATCACACGTACTCATAAAAAGGAAGGAGTAAAACTTTAGAATAAAGCCAGGTAAAAATTACTTTTTAGATATACTTTTTAGACCATACCTGGCTATCATTAACACAATTAATAATGAGCATCTCAGTATAAAATGCACTTTTAATTGGTGAACATGTTTTTCTCAAGCCACAGGAACTCCCCCCAAGAATTTTCAAAGTAAACTTCATGAAATAATGGACAAGGCATGATGCTATCCTTGTCCCAGCATCAGAACACCTTGGCTATGTTCAGGTCCTTCAATGGCCATTTACTATCTTGGTCATTTTGGTCATTTTACCTCTTTGATTTTCATCTGTAAAATTAAAAGGCTGAGTTCAATATCCTTCAAGTTCCATATGTCACTGATGTTCT